AAGACAATGTGTCAGGATGTCACAGTTGACTTCCTATCAGCTGCTTGCGAGTTTCCAATTAAGAATGTTCTTTGACCTTTCTTTCGTTGAGGGCTTGAAATTGCAAAAGAACAGTGTATGATCAAACGTGACTTCTCGAAATGAGTACATATTAGTCTAATTTTCAGAGCGCTGAGAAGGTCATCAAGTGATCGAGCTGCAGTACCCTTCTGAAAACGATTGAAGCTGATCGCACTAGCTAGTAGACTTCACAAATAGTAGTAGTTTTCCAGCACCACAGCCGTCTGTGAGTCAGAAAAGAGACGCTAATCTGCGGCGCAGACGGTCGCCTAAACCTGAAATCCTGTGATCGTTGGTTAGCAGGATGTTAATACACATGGGGAGGAGTGCTTCGCTACATTCTGTAGGCAAACCATTTTTGTAAGCAACATGAACTGAATTTATTTTCAACACAGACGGGGAAACGGCTGCCTCAGATGATAAGCTCGAGGAGTTGGACTGAATAGTTTACTTTGATAGCATTCTCGCAGGCAAGCCAGCGTGCTATTCTGTGTTAAAGGCTGATGATTAGTCGAGAAAAATTATTCACTTTTCGAAGAACATTCTCATTGAAAGTTTTGAGCGCCAAAAGCATTTATTGCAGCCATGGCAGGGAGCAGCTTGTTCTGTGACCATAACGTTGTCCAGTACAGGCGTAAAGCAATATAGGATTACTCGTTCACACAGTTTATAGCAAACACTATGAAGTGATATAAGTGGACTGCATGATGCAACTCTTCCAGTCTTCAGTTCATTTACGATTTTCGATCTGCGTTCTATCTTTGACTGTTGTCTTTCACTAAGTGCATACAAGAAGTATGCAGTTTACTGTCGGTCGCATGAATTGGGATGTTACAGAAATCTTGGTGCACTTGCTGTAGTACCTGGATTGCTGTCATTTAGTACATTATCGATTTCTTCTGGCTGTGAACGCATAGATCGGTGCTCGTACCAGATTCTTGTATTTGATCATGAATCGTTGATTTTCCACTTAGATTCTCTGTATATACAATCGTTCAAAGGTGCTGGCATAGAAGTTTGTTCTGCGGATCGCGTCTCTCTTGTTGCTTATTTCAAATTACTTTTGAGACTGAATGAATGAAAATTTACTCCATGGAGCAGCGGTTGTACGTAATCGAAACACTGTGTGTTGATTATTAACTATCAGGGGATCAAAGCGAAATGCAGGATGATAGTACATGTCGTCGATTCTGGCATGAGTAGATCGGAATGTCATGATGTCCCTACTTTTCGCGATTAGACAATTTACTATCTTTTTCTTCCGCTGGTTGCCCTAAAGCAATGTGGGGTTAATTCTTTGCTCTACGAAATTTGCGATTATAGCAAACATTATTATAACGAACCTGGCATCTGAAGCTACTCTCTTTACCGCTCTGTCGATGCGCTGTGCAAACCGATTCGTCTCAGAAAGCCCATTCCATCCCCCTTGTATCAGAGTTCACGGTTTTCCAGCCATACCTGCGACTCATGGCCATAGGTGACGAACGGGACAAAAATCAACTTGAACACAAAGCTTCATGTTCAGACTCAGATCTACCTTAGTCACAACGATTCGAGATTACTCATACGGAACGCCGCTTGTCATCCTAATTCGTTGGTCGATCTCCCATTTTCCATCACCGGTAAATAGGACCCTGAAGTACGAGAATTTCTGCACATGGTCCGGTGCTTCTCCATTTATCAGAAAGGAGCAACGGGCAGTAGAACGAGGAAACAGGTTCTTCCTTTGACATCCATTCGTACACATGCTATTCACGTCGCATTCGAATGCGAACCTTTCCAGATAGCGCCGTAGATCAGTTTTAGAAGATTCGAACTGTTATGGACGATCATAGGTGATCGCGCGTTGGCGTGATTGACTAATTTGTACGTAATGATTTAACCGATCGCGTGTCGCTGCGTAATCGAATCAAATCATGCGCTTTAGGCGTTGATGCCTATGACATCGCTATCCATTATTCGCCAATCATGGCATATATAAACTTATCATTTCATGATGCTTTTATCGTCTCGTCGTTGTTTAAGTTTGCTTTACCCGGCTTGGCCACTGTAATAAACTTATATCCAGACCCGAACCTCCAAAGATGCAACATGTTTGACGACGAGGATAATGTGATTTCAAAATATGCCTCTCTAAGGAAGACCTTCAGATCATCATCAGCACAGTATTGGACTAACTGCACCTCGCTGTTCAGAGTGAGAAGCCTGTGCTGGAGCCGAGTTTGGAGTCCTTGTCTTCCAGTATCACGGAAAGTGATGAAACCTTCCCTGCATGCTATCTCCATTTTGAAGACGCATTTATAATCGATGCCAATATATTATGCTGCTTAGGTGAGATTGTTGTTCCAGAGGATTGCGACACTCATCCACAAGCAATACATCAATTTCATCCTACTATGCCACCCCTGTGATGCTTCGTTTAACGAAACGGTCAAAATTCTATCGTAGATGTTCGGTCCCCAAACGTCCCTCTTCAACGCCCGTAGCAAGTGCCTGAAAGGGAAGAAGAGGGCCGTAAAAAGTTTCATTTCTTACGCGGTAGAGTAAGCTGGGACAGCCAATAATTTCAACTGACTTCGCTGACCGAAAACCATTACAAATGTTTTATTTTCGCTTGCGGCCTACATTCCTCAGAGGACAACATATTCGTCTACAGCTACTCAACAAAATTGAGAAGGAGGACGATGTCACCATTCCCAAATTGGTAACCGAATGCAACCGCTTGCATAGTCTGAAAGATGACACTGAAATTATTGAATCTACCAGCGCTACCGATCCTGCCGCTATAGTCACCGTGGCTATGTCTCAACGCAAATCCAATATTAACGGTTTCGCCAGGTATCCGTTTACACCAACAAACAGACCCACACGATTCAAATTTCCCTGCTGGTTCTGTGGAGCTACGCATTATGTGCATGATTGTTCCTACAAGAAACACGTACACAATACAATAAGACAGGCCACATGGAGGGATTCTGTCCTAGTCGTGTTTCACTCTCAGCAGGACCCATAAGACCCGCAGATGTAAAAGATTTAAATGGAGCAGAAAACCCAGGCTTAATGGGGCTTTGATCCTTGCATTTGCTGATTTCAAAAGCTTTCGCCGTTACCTCCCCATTTTCATCAGTGACCGTCCTGTTAAACTGCTAGCTGACACGGGTTCAGATTTTACAGTTATACCTTCTTCAATCTGGAAGATGATTGTTTCCCAAAGGATCTCCAAAGCCACAGCAATTTCGGCAGTCAGCTTCACCGGCAATTCAGCTCCCTTGCGAGGTATCAAATGTACCTATCTCTTCAATTCGAAATCCTTGTTCGAAATCTGTTGCGTATCAAACTCCGGCAACATTAATCTAGAAGCTGAATGGATCAAAAAACTAGGTCTCTTCGACCAACCATTCAACAAGCTTCAGGATGAACCCGCAACATGCAAATCGCAGTTCGTCAGCTTCCTCAGTGTTTCAAATGCGGAACAAATCGTTTGCTCTCCCCCCCCCCATCCTTTTGCAGCAGTGAGCTTGGTTGTTGCAAGCGCTTCAATGCAACTTCGCGATTACATCAGGACGCCCAACCAGCTTTCATCCTAAATGTATCGTTCCTTACGCAGCTAACCCGGCGGTAGAAGCCGAGCTTGACAGACTTATAAAACTTAATGTCATTTCCAAAGTTAGCTACTCGGCATGGGCAACTAGAATCTCGCAATCAAGCGTAACGGTTCCATCCGTATCTGTGCGGGTTTCTCGACTGGTCTCAATGCAGCACTCGAAATGTACATCCATCATACGTCCAGATCGCTGTCTTAGATCGCCGAGAAGAATCACAAGATCAAAAAAGCTCTTGTCCTGATTTTCGTCATTAGGAAGTTCCACAATGATTCATGGACGAAAATTCACGTTTCTGATTGATCTCTAAACTTTACTCACCATTTTTGAGCAATGAAAGGTGTTCCAGTCTACGCTGCCAACCGCCTTCAGCGTTGTTCCACCATTCTTCTTGGCTACAACTTCGACATTTAGCTCGAAGGACGAGCTTTGTTTCAACTCATCTCAAAGCGAGCCGAGGAATCGCCCGATGAAGAAGTTGTCATCGCCACAGCCAAAGCAATTGAAGCAGAATTCCAGCAAGTACTTTCGGATGCTATTCGAACGCTCCCAGTCACAGATGACAAAATTCATCCAGCAGACTACGGTTGATCCTCTTATCCAACAAGTCATCAAATCACCAGTAAAAATGGTCTAAGGCTTTCGTCTCGAATAATTTTACTCTACTGAAAGAATTCGCTGTCCCTTGCTGATCGTTGTCTGATGTATGGAGAAAGAGTAGTTATTCCGGCACCGCTTCAAGCCTCCATCATTCGTCAGCTCCACGCACGTTCCGATGTTAGCCGAATGAAAGGCTTCCCCTGTAGCCATACTTATTGTCTCGGAATTGATGCGAATTTTAAAACTTGGTTTGGACCTGTGATCAGTGTCAGCTAACAGCCAGATCTCGCAAAACTGAACTCTTTTCCTGGTCTCAGGCTGAGCACTCTTTGGTCACGCGTTCATATTGATTACGCAGCTATCGTCGTTTTTAGTTCTTGTCGACTCATCTTGCAAATAACCTGAAGTTCTCAGTACCGACGAAATCTTCGCACGCATCGGAATGCCAAAAATTGTCGTCTCTGAAAATCACACCCAGTTTACTTCAACTGAATTTCAGGACTTCTGCGTGTCTAACGACATCGAGTACATCAGAACCCCCTCGTTCTATCCCCAGTCCAACGACCAAGGAACGCTCCGTAGATACATTAAAGCGTGCTATCCATACGGGTGATGGAAATCTTGCCGAAAAACTCCAGTGCTTCTTGCTTGCTTGCCGCTCCACGCCAAATCCCGCAATTAATGGTCGCACCCCAGCTGAAATACTGTTTAGTCCTCCATTCTGCATCAGGCCCACGCAACCAGAAGCGACAGTTCAATGATCATCAAAAAGCTTGGCGTTGTCACTTCCAGAACAATCTACTCATCTGTATCAAGGGTGCCATCATGGTTTCAACACAATCTGGTCTCCGGCACAAGTTCTTCGATGTTGCGATAACTATCTTTATTATCTTCGTAGCCAAGGCAAAGTTTCCAAAGGACATGCCAATCATCATTTCACGTACCAACGCTGATTCCAGTACAAACTGACCCAGACCAGCCCCTCTCTTTTATCCGCAGGATGTGCAGTCAAACAGCAGCTGCAATGGTGATAGTACCAGCAGCAGTCTGCAACCAAGCAACAGTACACGCTTCGTAATTCGCTGCGTCGATGCAGTGATGAGAGTTGCAGCAACGACGTTTACGAATCAACTCATGGACCAGTCCTTCGGTCGACACGTACGTAAGTGATCACGCATTTGCGCGATCGACTACTTTGTTTCGCGTAATCGGATCGAATTATGCGCTCTAGGCGTTCGTGTCTATTAGATCGCTATCTATTACTCGCAAATCATGACATATATAAACTCATAATTTTATCACTTGTTCGTTATGTTATATCATCCCGTCTTTGTGTGAGTTTGCTTTTCCCAGTTTGGCCACCGTAATAAATTTATATCCAAACCTGTCCCTGCGACGATACAACACAAAAAAGCAAGGTCATCTGCAAACAACAACCGTTGTTGTCTCGGCATATTCTACGCTGAGATACTCGTCGCTCCGGCTGAGCCTGTCTATCCTGTCTGTGTACAGCGCAATCAGAAGGGGAGACCGATCGTAACCATGGCAGAGATCAGTGTTAACGTGGAGAGGTCTCAACTAAGCGCTACCTATCTGACGCAGCACTGACTATCAAGACAGTGCTTGGATTGCTACTAGCAGCTATCCATCGATTCTAGATGTTTGTTGGTACGCTCATAACTCGCTGCGCGAGATTCCGTTGTCGGTTTTCTTAAAATCGAAAGGCACATGCAAACCGGATGAGTGAGCTCCTTCCGGTTTCTCAAATATCTAGCTCAAAGCGAAGATCTGATCGTTGATGATACGGCATCGCTTGAAATCACACTGTCCGAACACTCACTACTTTGTTTGTGCGTTGGTGATCATAACGAAAGCTGAAAAATGTATAAAACCATACTTTTTATGCAACGCAGGCAAATTGCTCAATCGGGTTACTGACCAGTACTGATATTTCGACTGTTTTTCACAAGCTTTCTTCGTGGTGTCCGAGCTGATTCTCGCAATTCGGTCTACAGCATGCGGGCAAACGCCGTATTTGCCCGTGAAATGCCGCATCCATTCTTTCAGATTCCCTTGGTATATACTAATTAATGGAGGTCTACCATCATAGTTGTCCGGAGTAGGTGGTTAGGTTATGACAGATTTTGTTTTCTTCTGTTCTGTTTTTAGATGCTTGGGAATGAAAGATTCTGGATAGCTATTTGCTCTTAACGCCTTGATGAATTTGTCATTCCGCTCTTGTAAGGTAGTGTGATTGGAACATTTTCGCTCTTTTCTTAGGTACAGGGTTTGTACCAGTTCAGCTTCCACAGACACTCGTATATCGCAGTTTATGATAAAATAATATTTTGATTGATAGTCGTTTTTAGGGTTTCTCTGTTCATATACAGATAGACGTCCAGACGTGGATCTCTTACGATTTTTTCGAGATCGTAGGTGAACTGGATCTTCTCATGGATGTTGTTTAGGTTTTTCTGGAAGTTGTCTAGATGGTTGTTAGTATTGTCACAGGACTGAAGAGTTATTTACGTATCGATATTGTAGCACTTCTCTAAGTGCCGTTTTTCGCGATTCCAGACGATCACTTTCTACCTATTGAGATATTTCTGGTGTCCGAACCCACAATTTGCATAATTTCTGCAATAAACTTACCGATTTAATACCTGCTGATCACATGTTTGTTACTGTCATGATTGTTAACCGGGCTGCGACTTAAACTTGCGCAGTGCTACTCATTATTTAATATTTTGTTGTGTGTAAACTGGAATAGCTGTTGATAGTTGATGTCAGACAGCCATAGTTTTTCCTGCCTTGGTTATCTAACTTTTTTGATAACTTTTTAGTTAGCATTTGCGCAGCGTAGAAACGTAAGGGAATCTAGATTGCATTTCGTTTTTCATGAAATCATTTACTTGATTTGTTTGCATAACCTGGATATTTGGTTTTGTATATGATTTTTTAACGTTAGTAAGCCAAAAACTGGTTTTATACTCTACATTTTATTTTATTAATGTTTTGTACGTTTACTTTGATTTTAGTCAGCTGTATTTGATTCGTTGTAATCATTTCACTGCAGTTGTAGTCAGTCAGTTTCGATGACCGCTTATCTTTTCGGGTCGTAGAGGCAGATTTATCGAACAGTGACTGCAACGTTCTCGATTCTCTGCTAGCATTTGAGCTTCGGCACAAGGTAACCCGAGTCTGAAGCAGATTTTGTGGAGACACTTGCATCTCTCCAGGTCATTGTTGGCCGGTCGTTGGGCAAGTAGTTGCTGTTTATCCTTCCCTTCTGAAACATTCGCAGGAAATTTCTGCACTATTGTAGCTGTGACTTCTCTTTGGAGAAGCAGCGGCTGTGCACCAAAACTCTCGCGGATATCTGTACTCCGGACTGTGTGAGAGGCGTGAGCCTAACACTTCGTTACAGAATGTCTATTTCATCTGCGTTCATTGCATTATAGTTGCAGTTTTAGTTAATTTTGATATTAAGCTATATTATACATTTTAAATGGCGGTTAATTTTTATTTCTGCATTCTTTGTTTTAGGCTGGTGTTCTGCGATGCCACAGGATAAATCCAAGGTTACTACAACGAAAGTAATTGAAAATAATATATGATTTACGTAAATGTGAAGACTCTTTAAGCGAAAGAATGACGCAACGATCGTTATTGACAAATGGGATTCAACAGCTGTTAAAAACGCGCTCGACGATGGCGTGAGGAAAGTAAGCGAATCTTTGTTTCGATTCATTTTTATAAGTGTGGGTGTTGAAAATATGCTTTTCGCTGCAGAATCCGATAAACATCAGGTTTCGGTTAGCCGAAGAATGATTTTTTGTTTTGAAGGGCTTCCAAAACCTCTGGAGGATCGTGTGAAAAGCACTGCTTAGACTTGTAGAGTGGTATCTGTTTCTATTAGCTTTATGTCGCAATACTGCTGGATAAAGTTCAGCAGTAGATTCAAGAAATCAACACTTTTAACTTAATGATATTTTACTGCTTGAATTTCATTAACAACGAATCGTATTTTTCAGTAAAAAATCAAGCACATATTTTTATCGGTGAGCTCCTGATCGATCTTCATTGCTGTTTTATCGATCTTGTTCGGTTTGCTGTCTTGTCTATAAGGGAGGGATTTCTTTTTGTCATCTTGTAACTTCAGCCTAGTTTGAGCAACAGCTGTCCAGACTTATGATGTATGACCGTTAGAAGGTGTCTCATTTGCAATGTTAATTATTAGACAACTGCGCTGTTTCTGGTTCCAAGCCCAAATGAGAAAGGAGGAGGGTTGAGACCGTGGTGAAACCTTCTGTTAATTGTAGCCGCCTGTCCGTCATATTATTGTCGGTATCGAACGTTCTGCCGGCTCGGTCGTCGCCCGGGATATCAATGGCCGCACAGACTGTTGTGGAGCTGATTCAGACTGCAGAAAGTCGGCTGTTAGAACCTGCTTCTCACCTTCTAGCAGCTACGAACATAGCAGCACCGTCAAGCTTGCTAATGATCAGCAAGAAGACGACGAAGATGCCGGTCAGTACCGACCAAACCGGAACTGCCACCCGTTCTTAACGGAGGCAGACAGCGAATGCAGTTATAGCACATCAAATACAATTCCACAGGAACGATACCGACAGTGGAAGCTCACAGTCGGGTGCACAGTACATTTCCTTACTGATAGGGAAACAGCCGAAGCTAGTTGATGAGCGACATACCTGAACATAGTTCTGAGCTTAGTTCGACTCTCGGCAGTGAAGCGCCAGGGTTCTGAAATTTTGAACCTCCGAGGGTGGAAGCTATTCTACTCAGGTTTGCGATTTCACGACTTGCGCTCAGACCGATTATGGTGTTCAGGTAGAACCTAACCTGGTTGGTAGAATCTTTGAATGGAAGCCCTGTCATCGAAAGAGTGACAATCATCCGATTGAAGTTACAATATGCTAATGCGTTGATCTTGTTGTAGGTATGTGCACCCAGTTTACAGGCAGAATATCAGTCCTTTCTGGAGAAAGTCGTCGGTGTTCTGCTGAAAGTGCTGATTACATAATCCATCATTCTACTGGGCGATTTCAATGCACATGCCCGATCAGATACCGAAAAGTGGATATGAATGATTAGTAAGACCTTCCTCAGCATTAGCAGCACGATGTTCTTGCAGTTTTGTGCAAACAACAGACTGTCTCTTATGTGCACTTTCTTCGATCATCGAAATGTGCATCAGTATACCTCATGTAGCGTAGCTTATACACAGAAGTTGATCAATTTGACGACTGTATCGTGTAACCTACGGCGCTTTGTAATGTATGTTTACGTTAAGGGAATTGTCAACCGATCACCACCTTATTCTTGACACCTTCTGTTGAAGTACCAACAAAGACCTGGCGACGAAGGCAGCTAGAGAATCAAATCGGAAACATTATTTTCCGCGGATACGGGGACAAAACATGCAAACAACATCACACGAAGGTTTCAACACATCAGGTGATGATCGCTGATGCGGAAACCGAATGGAAGTTTTTTAAGAGCGGCTTACTCCG